CTGCTGCCATCAACACCTTTGTTTCTAGATGTTGGAGCTTGGCCTGTTTTCCAGTGTTTAGTCCTGTTTCCATCTACAGCCATGGCCAAAGTTCTGAGATTGATTCAAATGTTAATATTTCCAAAGTCTACTGCTTCAGCTTTTTGGACTCACAGCCAACAGACACAGAATAGAAGAGGGAGGGAAAATGAGTTATCTATGTGGTCTGGTTCTATGTAGCTCAGAACAGAAACACCAGCAGCAGCTTTCAGCAGAGCTTTATTCTGGTTCTGCTCATCAGAGACCCGTTCAGACTGGGCCGAGGATCGGGTCTATGCAACAGGTGGAAGAGCATGCAGAGCCGGTTCTGGTCCAGGAGCAGCTTTAACCGGGCCGGTTCTGTTTCAGCTGGACCCGCCGAGCCGCGCTGCAGTGGTCTGAGGTTCACCTGGACCGGACCGGAGCAGAACCGGGCTTCAGACCTTCATCAGTTTCTTAGTTTATTTCATTAGCAGCGTCTGAAGCGCAGCGGCGGGTCATGGCGGCAGGTCGCAGCGGCGGGTCACAGCGGCGGGTCATGGCAGCGGGTCGCAGCTGCGGCCCAGCCGTCCCAGGTCCCTACCTGCTGCGGCGGTGGCAGAGGGAGGACGGCCTAGCGCGCCGGCTGGTGCTGGGTGAACCTCTTCAGGTGGAAGCGGAGGACTCCTTTGGTCTTGAAGGTCTTGCCGCAGCTGCAGGCGTGCGGCCGCTCGCCGGTGTGGTCCAGCTGGTGGACCCGCAGCAGCGAGCTGGTGAAGAAGAAGCGGCCGCAGGTGATGCAGTAGTGGTTCTTCTCGCCGGTGTGGACGGCCCGGCGGTGGCCCAGCAGCGAGCCGGACGTGACGAAGGTGCGGCCGCAGTCCCGGCAGCGGAAGGGGCGCTCGCCGGTGTGGATCCGCTCATGGGCCCTCCAGGAGTTGTGGTAGGAGAAGGCCTTGTGGCAGTAGGAGCAGTGGTAGAGTTTCTCCTTGGTGTGGCTCAGACGATGCATCTTCAGGTAGTGCGCAATGGTGAAGCTCTTCCCGCAGTCGGCGCAGCTGAAGGGCTTCTCTCCCAGGTGGAAGAGCTTGAAGTGGGAGCGCAGGTGGGACGACTGGGTGAAGCGTTTGCCGCAGGTGGTGCAGAGGAAGGGGCGCTCGCCCGTGTGGGTGACCATGTGCGACTTGAGGTGCGGCGCCTGGGTGAACCTCTTCCCGCAGTGGGAGCAGGCGTAGGGTTTCAGGCCGGTGTGGGTGCGGTGGTGCAGCTTCAGGCCCTGCAGGCTGGAGAAGCACTTGCTGCACTCAGAGCAGCGGTACTCCTTCAGGCCGCCGTGGACGCGCTGGTGGCTGCGCAGGCCGCCGTGCAGCTTGAAGCCCTTCCCGCAGGTGGGGCAGGTGTGCGGCTTGCGGCTGGAGTGCGTGGCCTGGTGGACCTTCAGGCTCTGGGGGTTGCTGAAGGTCTTGGAGCACTGCAGGCAGGGCACTCGCTTGGACTTCTTGTGGGACTTGCGGTGGAAGTTGAAGCCCTGGTAGGACACGAACATCTTGTCGCAGAGCTCGCAGTGGTAGGACCGCTCGTCCTTGTGGAGCTCCAGGTGCCGGTCCAGCTGGTCCTGCTCGCTGAAGCCATCCCCACAGAACCAGCAGCGGAAGGGCCTGGTCCCGGAGTGGGTGCGGTGGTGGGTCTTCCAGTCCCTCTTCAGGGCGAAGGTGCGGTCGCAGTAGGAGCAGCGGTAGGGCTGGCTGCGGCCGTGGACCTGCTGGTGAACCGCCAGACTCATCACGGTGGGGTAGGTCTTCCCGCACTGCCAGCACTCGTTGGGTTTCTGTCCTCGATGGCTCCACAGGTGGGCCTCCAGGTGGGCCTGCTTGTAGAAGCCCCTCTGACAGGTGGGGCAGTACACCATCTTCCTGCCGCTGTTGGTGCGCTGGGGCCAGGGGCGCTCGCCTGCAGAGGAGGAGAGGGCGGTTATGGGAGCGCCGCCGCGGAACAGAGGGCGTCACATGCCGTCTGCAGCGCTGCTTCAGGGCTTCACCTGCTGGTTCTGCTCAGAGCTCATCGTTTCCGCCCGGTTCCCCCGCCAGGTTCCCCGCCCGGTTCCCCAGCCCGGTTCCCCGCCAGGTTCCCCATCCGGTTCCCCCGCCAGGTTCCCCCGCCAGGTTCCCCATCCGGTTCCCCCGCCAGGTTCCCTGCCGTGTTCCCCACCCGGTTCCCCCGTCCGGTTCCCCCGCCTGGTTCCCTGCCGTGTTCCCCACCCGGTTCCCCCGCCAGGTTCCCCCGCCTGGTTCCCCGCCCGGTTCCCCCGCCCGGTTCCCCGCCCGGTTCCCCCGCCCGGTTCCCCGCCCGGTTCCCCCTCCAGGTTCCCCATCCGGTTCCCCCGCCAGGTTCCCCCGCCAGGTTCCCCCGCCCGGTTCCCCGCCTGTTTTTGGTCCAGTTCAAACTGGTTTTTCCCGCATTGGGAAAGAGGTGTTTATGGCGAACCGTCACCGCTCTACATTGATGATGTCATCGTTCTGTAACCAACTCTCCTGATTCCTGATGACCAACGATGACCAACGATGAACAACGTGCGGTCCGGACCGCTCCACTGGACCGGACCGCCCCACTGGACCGCCCCACTGGACCGCTCCACTGGACCGCCCCACTGGACCGCCCCACTGGACCAGTTCTGGAGGAAGCGGAAGATGACGACCGTTTTTAAACGATAAAAATATTTTCACCTTATTTTGCTGAAAACTAAGAAATAGATGATCAGTAATTTTCTCTGATCCAATCTGATGGGAACCAATGAGAAAGGACTCCAGCTGTAGCTCCGCCCCCCCAGGCGCAGCAGCCAATGGACCCCACCCCCAGGGCGTGGCTGTGGTTGCCATGGTGAATTAGGTCATGGTGCTGCACTGATCAGGTGGATTAGATGCTGCGTTCAGGGACCCGTCTGAGCGGTTCTGACCCGAAACTCTGAGCAGAGGACCAGCAGAACCCTAATGGTCTGAGTCTGAGTCAGCAGATACAGAAGAACCAACAGAACCGGTTGTTCTGATCCGGAGCCCGCGTGGCGTCACACTGCGTCTCACCCAGACAGAGGAAGTCCCGCCCCTTCAGCCACGCCCTGCAGTCAGTGAGTGTGACTGACAGCTTCTTCAGGAGCGGAAACGAGCGGATCTCCACGCCATGTCCTGGTTCTGGTTCATCTTCTCCTGGTTCTGGTTTGACCCGAATGCTGTAGAACTGCTCCACTGCATCCTGAAACACACAGACCCACAGAACCAGAACTATGAATGGGGTCAACTGGACCCAGAACCAGAACCCCGGTCCAAAGCAGACCTGTTCAGCTCTATCTGGACCCGGGTTCTGACCCGGGGCGACCCAATTCTTTCTATTCACACACACAGCTGTTATTACGGTAGAAGGAGGGCGTTAGCACGCTGCACACACAGCTGTTATTACGGTAGAAGGAGGGCGTTAGCATGCTGTGCACACACAGCTGTTATTACGGTAGAAGGAGGGCGTTAGCACGCTGTGCACACACA